ACGAGCCTATCACATGGCTGGTAGGAGAGCTGGTATCACTGGCCTGGGAAGAGCAATGCCCAGAGCAAGTTCAGTAAGTGCTGAATGGATGCGGGGAAGGGAGACACTGTGGTTTTGGGTGGCCAGTTCATGCACACACATTCAGTTTATTCGTCCAAATTCCATCCATAGTTGAGCTCGAATAGACTCATGTATCACTGTTCAGGGAAAAGATCAAAATCCAAAAGTTTCAGTATGATTTTTTTTAAACTGAATTTGTATTCCTTGGCTCAATTGTAAAACAAAAATAACAAATTAAGTTGAACCACTATTCAACATTTTAGTTTTCTTTTTCCTTTTTTTCTTCTATGTGTGTGTATGGTCTTGGGACTTGAACTGAGGATCTGGGCACTGTCTCTGAGCTTTTTCACTCAAGGCTAGCACTCTGCCCCTTGAGCCACAGCACTACCTCTGAATTTCGGGTTGTTAATTGGAAATGAGAATCGGATGGACTCTCCTGACCAGGCTGGTTTTTGAACCTTGATCTTCAGATTTCAGTCTCCTGAGAAGCTAGGATTATAGGCACGAACCACAGGAGCCTGGCTTATTTCAGTTTTCATCACCATATACAGGTGAAGCAAACAAGGCTCAGGGATATTAGGAAATTAGGGCCTGAAAGCTAATGACAGCTAGAAGCTTCAACATATGTTGATTTTAGGTAGAAAGTTATCCTTTTGTTCCTTTGTGTCTAGAGCTCCAAAAGAGTAAGTCCCTAGACCTTTGGATGGCCTGGAAAATGCGCCGCTTGGACTGGTCACTGGTCCTCTGCCTTGATGTCTATCACTGTTTGCCCTGTAGCCTATAGCCCTGCAGGCTGCGTGCCACTGGTGACTAAGGCTGTCCACAACTTCCCCAGCAGGCAATTTTGGCACAAGGACCCCCTAGTGGCCTTAGATTTATACGATAGCTGGAGATTCCTGTTCAATGCCCCTTTCCCTCCACTCCCTGGGTGTCACCCCTGCATCATGTCTGGCCATCTCTGCCTGTTCTCATAGGAACTTCCCTAGATTTCTCTTGTATATCAAATCCAGCCATGGATTTGCCTCTTAGAGGGTCAGAAATAGCATAAGTGGCTTGAGACTTGCCAGATGGGGGCTTGCACTTGGAGATCTTGGGGAGGAGGATGCTACCCTGGTTGGCATGTGGGTCATGAGGTGGTTCTGGACTCAGATGCTATTTCATTAGTGTGACCTTGGGAAATCTCTTGAGCAGAGCAATGCTGTGGCCAGTGTGGTAATATAGGCATTTGATGGATGAGGAGCGGTCAATTCTGCTGGTGCCCTTCAGAGGGTCTGTGAGGTGGGCTGCTACCATAGGTATGAGGGCCAGAGAGCTCTTTTGGAGAGGCCCTTGTCTCCAGCAGCAGAGGACCAGGTGGTTGAAGATTTCAGTATTGGAGCTGTAGAGCTCAGCCAAGGTAGCTTCATGGGGTGGGGCCCTCGTGAGGCTCTGGATCTGGAGACAGGAGAAAACATGCATGGATGTAAGCCTGGATCACACTAGTGCTGTGGCCTCCCTGGCCCTCTGGACTATAGGGGCGGCCACCTTCCTAGTAAGAGCTGATGAGACCTGAGCTCTACCCTTTTAGGCCACAGGTAGCCCTCATGGAGCTGCCTCCACTTCCCCTTCTATATACTGAGGACCTTAATTAGAGTTGAATTCCAGAATAATCTAGGGACATAGCAGGCCAGATAAAAAGAGGGCAGAGAGAGTAGTAAGAATTAACTGTTGCACGTCCTGGCAGAAGCCAGGGAAGTGAGGCTCTTGGACTCAGATTTCAGTGTTTGCTTAAGGGGGCTGGAATGCAGCAATGTGAACTCGAGGGTGCTTTCTGGAGATACCAGACTGAACACCTTAGCCAGGGGCACAGCATTCTCCACTGCATGGCCCTGACAAGTCTGGAACGAGGCCGTGACCTTCTTACTACTCTCCAAATTTGTTACACTCATGGTAAGTTGACCAACAAAGGGGCCCATTAAAGCAGGTAATGAGCTCACCTGTGCTTTAATTAGAATTGATGTGCGTTCACAATTGGAGTAACCTCACATCAGGTTGCTGGCTTACGGTAGGATGAGAACTCTTTCAGTCAGTGGCGGTCAGAATACTCTGTTCCAGGGGCTGGGAAGGTGGCTCAGTGGTAGAGTGCTTGCCTTGCATGCCTGAGACCCTGGGTTCGATTCCTCAGCACCGCATAAGCAAAAAGAAAAAAGCCGGAAGTGGTGCTGTTGCTCAAGTGGTAGAGCGCTAGCCTTGAGCTGAAGAGATGAGGGACAGAGCCCAGTCCCGGAGTTCAGGCACCACGACCGGACCCCCCCCCAAAAAAAAGAATACTCTGTTCCATCACATACTGCCCTTGCTCATGAGCATGGATAGATAAAATGATGTCCCTGGCCTGCAGCAGACAGCAGGGTCACATTGAGTATCCTATTAAGGATAGCTCTTCCTCCTGTGGCTATGTGGAGTAGTCTTCTTGCTCTAAATCTGCACAGCCATGGAAATGTGTAGTACAGTATTTGTGGCTGTGGAAATATACGGTAGAGTAAAACATTGGGCCAGGTGCTAGTGGCTCATAATCCTACTTAGGGGGCTGAGGATTGGAGGATTGTGGTTTGAAGCTAACATGAGCAGAAAGTCTGAGACTCCATTAATCAGCAAAATGCTGGACTAGAGGCATGGCTCAAGCAGCAGAGCACTAGCCATGGGCAAGAAAGCTGAACAGAAAAACTCCAAACCAACCCCTCCCCAAAGTATTTGGTCTTTAGCACATAGTTGCTAAAACGCTTTATTATTATTACTTTTTTTTTGAGGAACAGGAGTGTCTGTTATTTATAAAAGCCCTTTTCATCCACACCTGAGTTCATGCTGAGAAATGATTCTGAGTAGAGTCCTAAGACAGCAGTCAGGATGGGGGTCAGTCACCAGAAATACCAAACAAATGAGGTGAGGTAGCTCCTGGTATCTTGGGGGAGGGAGAATACCAGCTAGTGGGTTATAAAAACCCTTGAACAGGGGCTGGGAAGGTGGCTCAGTGGTAGAGCGCTTGCCTTGCATGCATGAGGCCCTGGGTTCGATTCCTCAGCACCACATAAGCAAAAAGAAAAAAGCCGGAAGTGGCGCTGTGGCTCAAGTGGTAGAGCACTAGCCTTGAGCTGAAGAGCTGAGGGACAGCGCCCAGGCCCAGAGTTCAGGCCCCACAACCGGACCCCAAAACAACAAAACCCTTGAACAATGAGATTTGGGGACTCTCGGGGTTGATTTGCCCTCAGGGTGTTGGAAGGTGGGATGCGGTGGGTCCTAAATCTTGCTCTAAGCTTTAAGCATAGTTTATCCCTTATAGAAAATTGGTAAACATGTCTTCTCAACCTATGAAAAATTTGGAAGCTTCCAAATTTACAGCAGATTGGTCAGAAGTATTGGAATCCCCTGGGATTTGCTATTGGTACTTGAAGTATAGATCTTGTGAGGATAAGCCCTCCACTTGTGCAGTCTGGGTTAACACTAGGGAGTAAAGTGTCAGGAACGGAATTGAATTGTTGGGCATCCATTTGTGTAAGAGGACTGAGTGGATAAATGAAGTACTTTTGGCATATCAGAATTAGAATCTGAAAGACACAGGTGTGCACTGAGTGTGTGTGTGTGAATTTTGAGGACTTAAAATATAAAACAGTTCCCTAGTATGTTTTTTTTAACTCGAAGTGATTTTGGATCTACTGGATTAAAGTATTCCATTACAAATAAACTGGGCACAGTGGTGCATACAATCCCAGCACTCAGGAGGCTGAGGCAGGAGGACAGTGAGTTTAAGGCCAGCCTAAGCAACTTAGTGAGACACTTATTAAAATACATATGGTCTTTGTATATCAGATAGCATACTGAACTATTAATCACTACTGTGTTAGTCAGTGCTTAATTATCAGCCTTGGTTGGCATTGCTGAGGTCATTTGCTGATAATTAGCTTGGGATCATTCATAAAGTCCTTATGGTATGATGGTATGAACTCTTAAAACAAATCTGATGAAACTGAGAAGAAATCAGCCATTAGCAGTTGAAGCTCCAGTTGTGGAAGACGGCCATAGGCTTGGGTCACAGTGTGACCTATGTTAATAGTGTCCCCAAACCACTGTCTGGTCTGCATCTTTCTAGAGCTCAGATGCAGAACAGCTCTGTTGTAGGAGTCATGAGAAGGGAGGGCTGTTGCTAAAGGCTGTTGTAAGGTGCCAGACCCTGGTGAGTTGTCATAACCCATTGTTCTTTCTCTTTAGCTGACGAAGGATGGGCTTTAGATGCTGATGCTATGAACACAGCTCCTGTTCAGGCCTCGACCCTGCCCATTAAGGAGGCAGCCAGGAGCCCTTGGCTGGGTCACATGTGCTCTCTAGAGAAAGGAACTTGAAGGCTTGAGGGGAATATCTTGTCTCACCTTGAGCCTGGATCAGAGTGTTCCTGGAAGCTCTGCCTTTGGGAACTGCCATTTCTGTAGGCTCTGTGAAGAAATCTTCATGGGCTTAGCCAGACTAAATATCGTCTAGAACTACCATCACAGATCATGCATTGCATTGCTGGTTTAACAATTCCCTGACGCAGGAAAGTCTGCTGCCCAACAAGACTTCCATGTCTCATGCTCAAAATTTTCAGATTGCACATACCAGAAATGGAGAACCTATGACCTAGAAGAGGGAAGAAACAGATTCTCATAGAGCTTACTACAAGAATGGTGAGGTGGAACCATGAATGAGAACTTTGGCCCCCGACAAGAGTGTATCCAGAACTCAGGCCAGCATATCCAGCATCTTTGTTGCTATGTGAGCAATGACATGACAAAACCAAGGCACCTGTGAGTCATGCTTTGCTTACCCTAACCTTCTGCCAAAATGTAGGAATCCTGAACACCCCCCTGCTGTGCTGTGTGCTGTAGAATGAGCTTATTCCACAGGACACGAGGGACACTTTCATGAAGAAATAAATTCAATTCAAATTTATTAGTGAATGTAAGGCATGTAAAGCCTTCATGAAAGTTAAAAGAATCCAGTTACAAAAGAAGCGCTGTGTACAATCTCAAATAGCTGGAAGTACAATGGGCTCCATATTTTACAAAGTACAAAAATTATTTCATATACAAAGAAAAATACAAATAATGTGCAAAACCCACATTTTTCTCAGGTGGCAATTTATAAAATGAATATGATAGAAAATCCTTCATTCTTATTCCCCCACTTTATATATTAACACAGTTCTATTTTCTAGTGTGAGGATAATTTTAAGTTTGAAAAATCTGATTTTAATCTACAAAGAAGTTTCTATTTTTTTTAAAAAGGGAATCTTTCATTACTGAAGTCTTATGAATGGATCTGTTCAGTTAATTTTATATTAAATTATAAGCAGGCTATCTGAAAACAAGGATACAGAAATATGTACACATTTTTTGAAATATTAGTTTGGTATTTAACATATTAACATTTGAAAACAAACACAACTGATCTGGCCACCTGGCCCAGGCTGGTATCAGTGGCTATGTGGAGAGGCTGCTCCTGCTCACCTTGAGGCTGAACAAACACAAGGTATCTGTCATAAGAAGGAGAGTCTAAGAACAGACTTCGAATGTGCGCAGCTTTTGGGTACTTTCCCTGTCATGGTACCACCTTGTCACAAGTATTGTGTGGTCATAAGTAATGGCTTCAGTCTTCCAATTTCTTCACTTGATAGGAGTTCAGTGCGAGTGCTTTGTGAGTTAGTGCATTCAGCTCTTTGCATGTTATTTTGTCTAAGGAACTGTCCAGGAGCAGAAGAACATGCAGGAGCACAGGCCCTGCATCCCTGGAGTAGCTCTGGTCTGGAGGACTCCTCTTAGAAGCAGTTTTCCTGCATAGGCCTGGTCAATGTTGCTCCATCCCCTAGCCAAGTCATCCCACCCCCCAACTCATGACAACCTTGTTTGCTTCTTCTTTGCCTGCCACTGAGCAGTGATGTTCTCTTGCTGTGAACCTTAATGGCAGAGCAGGGCCCGTGGAAGCACCTTTTGGCAGCACCAGAAAACTGAGCACTTCAAAGGTTAGGCAAAAGGGCAGGGACTTCTGATGGGAAATCTATGTAGGGCATAAGATGATCTTTGGAGGGTTTTGATTTTTTTTCTTGTTAAAAACACTCCAAGGAACTATGACTGGGAAATAAAAAAGACCTTCATATGAAAAGTGGTAGCCATTTTGCCTAGGGGGAAAGAGGACAGTAGTTCAGAATATTCTCCTGATTCTTAACCACTTAGGTCCTGTTAGAACTATCAGTGCAACATACAGAGATGATCTGGAGCTCTTCACCAGACCTGTGTGATGCATCCATTAGATAAAGTGAATGTAGCAAGTGTTGTAAGAGGGGCTGGGTAAGATGGGGTAGAAAGGAGAATCGAGAAGCTCAGGCCCTAGGATGACTCTTCATCCACCCAAGCTTTTCTTTCCATATGGCAGCTCAGCTTTCCACTTCTGCTTAGGATGACAATGGGCATCAGGCATCAGATATACAGCTCTGGATCCTGTCTATCCACTGCTGGGCACTCGGCCCATCCTGGGCACAGAAGTTATACACACGTTTGCTGGTCTTGAGCTGTAAAACCAAATAACAGAGAAGCTTATGATGGGTAGAGTTGTTTTGTGTCTTTGGGCAAGCTGCAAACAATTCCCGAGGTCTTCCTTTACATGCTGCCCCGCAACTACGGTCTTCTCCTCCCCCTTCTCTATGGTATCATCACTGCCTTTGGCACTTTGCTCTTCTCATTTCCAAGGTCACAGGGAATATGAATGGGGGAGAAAAGGGGCAGAGAGAGGGGGACATGAGGAGAGTTATTTTTCTGGGCCCACCTCTGACTGGTGTGGGGAAGAATCAGTAAAGTCATCATCCTTACTTTGAAATTAGCCTCTGTGTCCCCTTTCTTCAGTTGGTACTAAAGGAAGCCCAGGGCCAGGGAAATGGCCTCGTGGCCTGAGCGGGGTCCTGGAATGTGACCTCTGCTCTTTATAGAGCCATACGTGACTCTTAAGGATTAGATAAGTCTCCGCTTCAGCACTGATGCAGATGTTAGGGCAGAATTATGTATGACTAAGAACAGGCTTTTTGTTTGGGGTCAGGAGGAAAACCACTGGATATAGAAACAGCAGCAGCTGTTGTTGAAGGCAGGTGGTGACTGACAGCATTTTACAAGGTATTCTTCCATGTGTGGTCCTGAGAAGTAGAGGCACCTAGGAGAGGTCAGGCTTGGGATGAGAGTGCAGATTTCAAGTTCTGGAACACTGCTCACAGCCAGGACTACCACCCATCTGTGGTGCCTACCAACTGCTCTGAGGGCCCATAATTCTTGCAGACGGAAAACAGCAAAGAACTAGGGTCAACTTACATCAAAGAATGCCTTGTCACTTGTGTGCTTTGGGGCCCCCATGCTGGGGCTGGCAGGAATGACCATCTCCACTTCGGCCAGATCAATGTGGCCTTTACAGCTCGTGTCCTCACCCGAGTCATAGTAGCGTAGCTAGGACCAAAAGATGCAGGTGAGATACAAGAGACACCAAAAGGGAAAACAGCATTGTTTTCCAAACTGTATTTGATTACTTTCCTCTGTATCTTGCTTAATTATATATGCTAAACCTAGAAGAATATGGAGAAAAATGAGTAACAGCAGTCACTTCTAGGAAGGAAAGCTAGATGGGAAATGAACTGGTGGGAAAACTGTTTAGATATTATTTTAAAAAAGCAAGTTGCCAAATAGCATGAAGATATAAATTCCCAAGAACCCATCTCAACCAATAGCTGGACACTGTGGCATGCACCTGTCATTCCACCTATGGTGGAAAGTATAAATTGGTGGAATACTGGTCCAGGCAGAGGCCAAAAATGGTTAGAGGTATGGCTCAATCAGTAGTAATGTACCTGCCTAGCAACTGCAAAGCCCTGAATTCAAACTACCATACTGGAAAAAAAAAAGTTCCCATTTAGCCAGTTGTTGGTGCCATATGCCAGTAACCCTAGCTATTCAGGAGGCTAAGATCTGAGAGGATTGCAGTTCAAAGCCAGCATGGAAAGTCTATGAGCCTCTTATCTCCAATTAAGCACCAGAAAACCAGAAGTAGTGCTGGGGCTCAAAGTGGTAGAGCACTAGCCTTGAGCAAAACAGCTCAGAGACAACACCAAAGTCCTAAGGAGTTCAAGCCTCACAACCACCACCAACAACAAAAATAACGTTTGACAGATAAAATTTTTTAGATTTCTATAAAATGTTTTAGTGTGTTGTAATGATCATGTATTCCTTTTGGAATAAGAAAAAAATGACAAAGCATATTAAAAGTTAGAGCTCGCCGGACTTCAGTGCACAGGAATGCCTGGTGTTTCCATCTCTGCGGGCCAGTCTCAGACTTCTCTCTCTCTTCCCTCAGGCATGGTATGAGCACAGCTAAATGGAAAAACTATATACCTTCCATATTAAAGAAATCTAAAAGATTGGTAAGAATGCAAGTATAATTTGATGCAATTTTCAATTATAGAAAAATAACATTTCTACATTATATTTAGTGGTTTAATGGAACTTTTCTACAGAGGATAGGCTCTATGATTTTAGAGACACTGCTATTTTAAAGCACAGTTCTGAAAAAGGAGTCTATTTGTATATTTTAAAATGCTTAGACAGGCGCATAGCTGTAATCCTAACTACTCAGGAGGCTAAGATCTTAAGTCTGGACAGAAAAGGCCATAAACTTTTATCTCCAATTAACCACCAAAAAAGCCAGAAGTGGAGCTGTGGTTCAAGTGGTAGAATACTACTAGCCTTGAGCAAAAAAACTAATGGACAGCGCCCAGGCTCTGAGTTCAAGGACTAACCTTTAAGAAACCCCTCAAGAAGAGGCAAAAGTGGCCCGCTGATACAGGCTTCATCTGTACAGGGTCCCACTAAAGCAGGTCTTTTACAGCAGACTCCACTGCACAGATGAACCCATGGAATCAGTATGCCTCAGGCTTCCGGGCCTGTGCTAAGACCACAGGGGGCATGCAATGCTCACTCATGAAAGGCACACAGGGGCAAGAGGTTGGGTGGAGTCCTCCTTCTTTGAGATCACTGAATGCCAAGACTAATCTTCAGCTGCTAGAGCAATTGCTACAAACGTTACAATGGTCAAAGATTTCCTAACATGGTCAGCAAGGTCCAGTCTAGTACTTCTTGTGAATTCCAGGGCTGAGTAGACATATGCCCCTCTGCCTGTTTTGGACTCTGCCCCTGCCATTTCCTTTTTTAAACTGAGGTTGAACTCAAGTTTTGTGCTGGTTAGGCAGGAGCTCTAATAATGAACCATGCCTCCAGTCCAGGTATGCCCCCTTGCTTTTTGTCAGCTGCAGGGCTTGAACTCAAGGCCAGGGTGCTGTACCTGAGCCTCTTGTGCTCAAGGCTAGTGCTCTACAGTGCCACTTCCAGTTTTTGATGGTTAATTGGAGGTAAGAGTCTCACTGGGATTCTTCTGTTCAGGGTGGCTTCTAATGACGATCCTCAGATCTCAGCCTCCTGAGTGGCTAGGATTACAGGTGTGAGCCACTGAAACTCGACTTCCAGCCCTCATGTTTTCTTTTTTTTTTTGCACGAGTTATTTTTGAGATAGGGTTTTTCTGCCTGGGCTATAATCTGCCTATTTTCTGTTCTAGCTAGTATGACAGGTGCATGCCACCATGCCCAGCTTCTTCCTTTTGAAAGGCTATCTCATGGCCTAGAACTGTTAACCTTTCTCTCTCTCTCTCAGCCTCCCACATAGCTAGGATAACACAAGCATGTGCCACTGTGCCCAGGTATTGACTGAGAAGGGTCTTGAAATGGGATCCTGAAATGGGCAGGCCTTGCAATGGTATCCTTCTGATATAAACCTTCTAAGGTTTTACTATCTTTGGGAGCAGTGGTGTCTTTTTATAGTAACTAGTACAGCAACATGCACAGGGGTGGGCTGCAATAAATGCTGATCCATTCAATCACAAGTGGATATTTCTGCTGTAAGGCTGAAGGACACCTGTACTCTGGGGAGTACACACAGGTTTACACATACTTGAAGTATGTACATCACAGGCTGAAGCCCTCTGACCCGGCTGTTAAGAGTAGGAGATAGATAACTGAGCATTAAAGAAGAGTCCTACTTGGTCTGCACATGTTGGACACCACTGTCCTGCCTCGACTGCACGCACCACGTAGGGATTACTTTGGAATTGCCTTCTGAAGACTGCTACGCTGGCTTGGGGACAGCCTGGGCCCTCGAGGAGCCCCCAGCTGTGTACAGAAGACCCTCACAGAACAATCTGTACCTGAGAAATTATCTGTTGAGAGCCACACAATACCAGGGGACTAAGGTTACCCTAGAGAGAAGTAATTTCTTTAGGCTTAAACAGAATTACCTGATGTTTCGTTATATCTAAAACAAACCAACGGGGTTTCCAGCCTTTCAGCAGAGCGCCTCTTTTATACAGTGTTCCCTCAAAGGACCTAGAAGAAATGGCAATAGAACAGTTTTGATTTTTCATCTAAAAATGCTATGGAAGGATATGCTGCTTTTCTTCGTCAATTTTCCATGCTCCTAGATGATCCCAAACTGGCCAGTTCTCCCTGGAGTTTTGCTTCTAGATCTCTAGGGAGCACCATGCTTGCCAGGTTAGGAATGACTGAAGCAGAGCTGGAAGCAGACCGAAGCCTGAAGATACTGTGTGACTGGCATGCCCTTGGCTGTCCTATGTGAACAAATTCCTTTTGGCTTCAGCCAGCATGACTGGTATTTCCTTTTACCACTGAAAAAGTGCTGACTAATACATACACTCAAAAGCTCTGGCAGAAGTAATAACAATTAGGAATCAACCACAACTAACATTTTGGCACTGTTTTACTTGTAATACTTTTCCTCTTCAAATAACCATATAAAGCTTTTAGAAAATCCTGAGGAATGAAAGCAAATCCATTTCCCATTTACAAAAGGCTGTGCTGCACAGCCTAGCTCAGAGGGACCTGTGGGCTTTCTGAGCACACTGAGCAGGGTTCAGCAACTCACCTGTTTTCATCATTCTTGGATGTGTACTGGCTGTAGAGCGTGGCAGCCCTGCGTTCCACCCCATTGGATGGGGAGATGCTGGTATTCTCGTCACCCACATTGCTCTCTGGGAGGTGCAGCATAGGCCTCTTCTGATAGGAAGGTACGTTGGTAGACATAATTCCTGGGGACCCCAGTGGGTATCTTTGGGACTGAAAATGAGAATAGGAGATAGGAGAGCTTTACAGAGACTTGAAATGACTGAAATTTCACCTATATGAATTTACCCCAAGGAAAAAAATTAGACTAATGAACAAAGATGCATGTATAAAGATACTTGTTCTGGGGTTATTTATAATAAAATTTTTAGGCAAGATAAATACATATGATATTTCTATATGATGCAATTCTAGGAAGCTACTAAAATATACTGATTTTTGCACAGTGAAGGATATATATTTTAACATTAAGTAAAAAGGAAGATTTATAGTATATAATTTCTTTCATATGAACATTTAGAAGTGTGATGGCATAGTATCTTATTTCTGTTATAAATTGTGATTTGATTTTTATCTATTTTACAACAATGTGTTACCATATTAAAATAAGTAGATTTAATAGGCATAATCAGAAAAAATCAAATATTTCATCTTTTGGGATAAAAGGCATAAAGGCATTACCTATCTGGCCTGTGCAATAATAGCTTCTGAAATGCCTTTTGAAGGCAGGAGACAGAGCCTAGAGAAAGAGCCCCTTGAAGAGTTTTCTTCTTTTTCTTCTTGACCTATCCTTCCTGATATGCTCCTCTGAACACTTATCTGTCTTGCTTTCCCTTCTGTTGCATCTGAAGTAAATCTGTGGGTATGCAGCAGTGAAATTCTTTACCTTGTCCCCATGCATGAGATGTGGGGGACCCACCCCCCAACAGTGTAGACTGGATAGGATATATGATCTGGTACTCAGCATAGTAACTTGTACATATTATTTGCTTGATAAATGTTCCTTAAATCAGAAACAGAATATGGAGTGTGAGAAGCAGAAAATGAAGTATTTGGTTTAAAATATTTCTTTGATAAATGTTTCTTAAATCAGAAACAGAGAGGGGAGTGTGAGCAATAGAAAGTAGTGTATTCTATCATTTTAAAGTATTTTAATTTTCTCTCTCTGCTTCTTTCTCTGGAGCAAACATGGCTTTGGCATTCCCCTCCTCCCTTGTGTCATAAAACAAAAGCTGAAACCACAAAGGCACCAAGACAGAAAAGAACCCAGTAATTTCCCCTGGATTCTGTGCCCTGAAACCTAAGTATTATGTCACTGTGGTAAAGTGAGACACTCAGGAAATATTCAGGCGTTTGGGGCTTTCTTCCCTGGATACCAGGACATGACCTCTCCCTTTCTATCCTTCTGATTGTATACTCCTTGGGTCCTGTGACCTGTGGCAGCGGGCCCCACCTAATCTAGCACCCTCTATAGCTCAGAGGTGTCTATGATAACTCACATGGTCTATTCTTGGCTCTTCCTTAAGGTCCGCTGTTACCTTTTCCCACAACTGGTGCCACTTCTCTGGGGTTTGGTTCAATTTATGCTCCAATTTTTCGATTTCCTGTAGAGAAATGAAAAGAGTTTTCCAAAAGATCAGTGTTTCACAGGTTAGGGTTATGCCCCAGAGTTGTTTCTTGTACTGGACCTAGACAAACAGCAAGGCCAAAGGGGAGCTGAAGAGGGTGGGAAATATGTGATTTCTGAGGTCTCCCAAGGTAGGAAGATTGGTGAGAGCATGAGCTGGCATAAAAGATCATTAGCACCTGTCATCAGGTATTTTTTTTTTTTTTGGGTTCAGACTGGCTTAAATAGCAAAAAATATAAATGTGTCCCAAACACAATCACCTTCTCATGGGTCAGCCATGATAAATCTGATGGCTAAACCAAAATGCCAACACCATAATGTCACCTCTGTGGCTAGGAGTTGAATATTCTGTCCTTGACACAGGGGCCTCTCAACTCTGACTCAAACTATATACATGGAAAGAATGAACCAAGAGATGCTCAAGGAAGTGGATTTCCCTTTGGACAGGCATCTAGCTCAGTGCCCTAATGCAACACACTCCTTCTGGTTAGAAAATCAGAGGACTCTTAAGAAGTATCTGCCCCACATTAGGGCTTAAAACCATTCCTTAGGGTGACTACTGACAGAATATTCCTTGCAGAAGGTGGTTGGCAGTCATCCCATCAGGCCATCAGTTACCCACACTCCTTACCAGAGGAAGTAAAGCACCCACAAAAGCTTTAGTCCAGACCTGACTAAGCTGAATGGACAGCTAAAACAGTTGGGAAGCTACTGAATGGAACTCCATTTGTATTTGCTCAATTGCTTCCTTGTAATCCTAGGAAGTCTTTTATTGAGGTTCCTTTTCCATCGTTATATATGATACCCTACTGATGCAGGATAGCACATCTGATTTCTTCAGAAGTCCTGCCTCTAACTCCATCCCAGAGTGAGAGCAGCAGTCGAAGCTTGTAAGCCAGTCTTGGCCAAGCCTGGTTCCCGAGTGTTTCTAAGGTCCATGGTGCCTGTAGGTTATGTATCTACCTGTGTTGACTTACACTGAAAAGGCTGGTGAGAGCATCGGGCTGAGTACAGCAGACATCATCATAGCATGGCCACACTGTTCTCCTTTGGCTCTGGGGTCCAGCTCTTCCAGCCAGATCGGACTCTTCAGAGGGGAAGTGTTTAGGGGCCAGCATCATCCAGTCATATGAAGGCCCTGCAGACAGGGTCTCCTCTATATAGTAATCCCACTTCTTGAGGCTGGAGACATTTACATTAGGCTTCAGGGCCTGTTTAAAGAAAACTCTGAAATGTAGTTTTTTTTCTTGGGCTTAGAATACCCTGACAGGCTATCCATTGACATTCTCAGGACCCAAGTGAATGCAAGGAGGTCAGACATCACCCATATAAATATTTAAAAGTTATTCATCAAGATACTGTCCACCCTTAACACCTGGAAGGCCAGGTTTAAAAAAAGAATTTCTGTATTCTACATGAAGTGGGAGCTTCCAGTGAGCTGGTTCCAGCTCCCAGTCTTTGGCAATAACACTCCTCCCACCTTGACCCAGCATGAATGCTAAAACCCAGCCTATGAAGCAAAACTGTCTGCTGCCTGCTAAACAGCATTTTTTTTTTTTTTGGCACAACCTTTGGGATTAGGGGTATAAGCACTAGTTTGGGAGGCAGATTTGGAGAAATAGCCTGTGAGTGGCCTGAATTTGGGCAAGGAAATTTCAGGGTAACTAAAGTATGACTTTGGGTATTTGAGTACTTGACATTGGTCTCTTGAGGAGAATGTAGCTGGAGGAAGGTCCTAAATGCATTGGGCCCAGAATAGGGACCTCCTCTATCTCCTACATTGGAGCAGTACCGCTTAACAAACCTACCTGCTCGCAGAGTCTCTATTATGCAGCTACACATGACAGAGTGTTTTGCCCTGAGATACCCATCCTTATTAGGCTGGCTCCACATGCCCCTGCTGCCCACACTGGTCCTCTCAAGGGTTACAGATATAAGAAAAAACTCCAAAAGCATTTTAGATTTTCTTTCAGGTTGGGTTTTTAGCTCCATCTTAACTCTTGACATTATCCTTTCTAGGTTTTAGGGGTAACCTAATTTTTTTTGGCAAGAATTTAGTGATTCATTTCTATCACAACACAAACTTATAGCAGCTCCAGCTTTTAAATAGCTTTTGGTATCAGACTTAGCTTAAATACTTATGAAATGTAAACAGCTTATATATACTAAAACTAAAGAAAACATTAACATGAAATATTTTGAAAATGAGCGATGATTTCTTACTCTACCTCTATTTCCACTGGTGAATATAAATAATTAAAGAAAATGGGACTCCGCTTGTGCATTCTGTCAATGCACTCCCAAATACAAATTCCCTTCTTGGCATGCTTGTCTCCTTTATCATCAAATAAAGTTCCTACAAATAAATACAATGGAATGAAGTTAACATTTTACCTGAAAGTATGATATATGTAATAGATGAAAATGAAATGTTGCTGTTTTAGAGCCATATGAAATACATGTGCAGAAACCTTACAAGGTAACTGCAGTCTAAAGGCAGAAGTAACTTTACAGCTATGTGGAAGGAAAACAAACTGGTTAAGTTTTCTAGGCAGTGAGCAGTACATCACTCCTACTCTGTATCCTGCAAATGTATCTATAACCACATAGGTTGGTGCCAGGAAATACTCTACACATTTTTTTTTTTTTTTTTGCTGGTCCAGTGGCTTGAATTCAGGGCCTAGACACTGATCCACAGCTCTACTTCTGGCTTTTTAGTGGTTAATTGAAGAGTCTCATACAACCTTTTTTGCCCGGGCTGGCTTTGAACCATGATCTTCAGATCTCAGCCTTTTCAGTAGTTAGTATTAAGGGAGTGATGAGCTTGCACTTGGCAGCCCTATACATTTTTTTCAAGAGAAAACAGAAAGACTTAAAAGTTAACTTGATGTAACTCAATTAAAAACCTAATTTTGTGTTTCTTTTTTTTAAGTTGTTGCCTGTTATAAAGTCATTTAAAGCCTTTTCATGTCTAGCAGATAAATGATATTCACGGAAAAGAGGAGACAGGGTGTGTTTCTGTATCCTTGGGTGCTTAAAACAAAGGCATAAGTTAGTGAGGGCATTTAAGGGTTTTCTGACACCACTTTCATACCTTTCAAAATAGATACTGGATTGCTCACATGAGCCTACTTTTATTTTTTAATGGGGGAGGAAGACATGTCAGGATGAGGCAGGAAGAATTTCTGTAAAAGGCCTGGAAGGATTTATCTCTTAATAGCACTGTCTTTCTTTAAATGAGATAACTGAGCTTAAAGTCAAGAATTTTGCCAGTTTATTAGAAAAGTTCAAAGCAATACTAATTCTCTAATATGTGGAGCCCTTTCTACCTCCTCTCCACCTGTTATTTTTTGCTGGTACCAGGGTTTTAACTCAGGGCTTAGTGCTCACCCAGCTTACTGGCTGGTTGCTCTACCAGTTAAGGATTTTTGCTGGCTATTTTGGAAATGAAGTCTGGTGTACTTTTCTGCTCAGGCTGGCTTTGAACCTTGATCCTCTAAATTTTGGCTTTCTGAGTAGCTAAGGTTACAGGTGTGAGCCATGGGGACTTTGATTCTTTACTGCAGAGTCTATTGCAGTGGTTCTAAACCTTAAGTCAAATTAAAAAATAAAGGCTTAAAACCCCTCAATTCTCAGATTCACTTGAGACCAATTATTTCAGAATCTCTTGGGATGAGCCTTGGCTATTAAGCATTTTAAGACTTTCCCAAGTGACTCCAGTGCTCAAAACTGAGACTGTACTAGAAGTTAGAGTGAACCTTTTTTTTTTTGGTCAGTCATGGGGCTTGAACTCTGAGCCTGGGCACTGTTCCTCAGCTTTTCAGCTCAAGGCTAGCTCTTTACCACATGAGCCACAGTGCCACTTCCGGTTTTCTGGTGGTTTATTGAAGATAAGAGTTTCACGGCTTTTCCTGCCAGGGCTAGCTTTGAACAGCAATCCTCAGATTTGTGCCTCCTGAGTAGCTAGGATTACAGGCGTGAGCCACTGGCACCCAGCTCTAGAGTGAACTTTTAAAGGCCACTCACTTATCTTTCCATTTGAGAGGGGGCATCGATTAGAGTCTTATGTGGCAGTAAAGCCCCATGTGAAATAGGCTCTGGGTACCTTTGCAGACAGCAAGAGAGTGAGCTGAAACCATAAGTCAGCTCAAGAACTGGCCTTCCCTTCCTCAGCAAGCCCCTTTCTCCATTCTAGTGACAACTGGTAAATGGATCCAAGAACAATGGGCTTTTCTTACAATGTCCAACTGGCTGTCTTAATATGTGTATATGAAAAGGGAACAACTTAAAAACAGCTCACAAAATCAAACAGATTACCTTAAAAACAGCTCATATCATTTGACTAGTGTCAGATTCCGTCAGTTTATAATCCTACAATCCATTATTACAATCACGATTATTATGTAGTATTATCTAATCACCATTATAATCTCTATTACTCTTCAAAGACAAGGGAGAGTTCATGTTATTTAGGATTTTCTGATGAAATCTTAATTATGACTGATGCATCCCATCAGCAGTGATTGAGGGTCCTACACTTTTGATCTTGGCAGGTAAAAGGTTAGTTACTACAGCTGTTCCCAAATGATGTTTCACTGTGTAAGTTTCATATTTCCTGTGTCTCCTAACATAACAGGAACAGACCCCAAGCTGGCAATCCAGACTAGGCTGGGGATACAAAAATCAGGCTTCTTCGATACTAATTAGGAAAGTGGCCCTTAGGCCATTTGTCCAGAGAGTGGGAAAGAGAGAGGGCTCTTCAGCAATGACACTCTAGGATCCTAAATGCATGTTATGTATTTTATGAAAATAACATGAGATTAGGACACAGGATAGGAATTGCATTTTCAGGCCATCATGATCTTTCAATACATACCAACTATATTCCTTTACATAATTTAATCCTTTCATTTTGTTTAACCTATGAGTAAGAAGTAGACAAATAGCCTGTACAGGTTTTTCAGATGAGAAAACTGGTGCTCAGAGAGATGAAACAGTTTTCCAGCATCACCAATACTTTCTAATTTAGTTCAGTGTGTTCTATCCACTGTACCAGCAGTGTTAGCCTTGATAGCAGAGTGGAATTATCTGGGTACTTTAGCAAGTTATGGCTGTCCTAGGACCTACCACCAGATTCTGACCTGGTTGGCTGGAGGTATTTCCTGGGTGTTGTGAGCTTTAGAGAAGTTCCCAGGTGATTCTAATGTTGGGTCAAGTTTGAGAATCATAGTGTTAGGTCTTGCTGCTTTTCTGATTGAGAACCATCTGCTAAAGTAGAAGCCTTGGCTTTGGCTATATTTTCATGCTGCTAAGGTAATTTGCTAACCAGTTTAATTAGCAAAACATAAGCCTATTTAAGAACCAAACATTTGATGCCAGTGGCTTGCACTTGTAATCTTGAATACTCAAGAGGCCCAGATCTGAAGATTGTGGTTCAAAACCAGCCAGGGCTGGCAAGTCCCTGAGATTCTTAGGTCCAATGATCCACCAGAAAAGCTAGAAATGGAGCTGTGGCTGTGATTCACTCAGGCTAATACTCTAATTCCATGAGTCTGCAGGTATAAACAAAATGGTGGCCAGCTGGATTAGTAGTCCCTACCAAAAAGTGTGAAATGTAGTAGGCAACTTCAAAGGCCTGCCCTAGAAAGTATTTTTTTATATCAGATTTTAAATGAGATTTTTGGCAACTATTTTCTTGTACATTTTCTCCTATGGTACACAGGATATATTACATATGGCTCACTGTTTTTTAGTTTGCTTATCTTTTTAACAAAAGTAGTCATGGATATTTCTCCCATCTCCATAATAACAAAAGGAACATACATTTCCCTTAGGAAATGTTTTCAGGGTCTTTCACAATCTTTACAATATTGTTATTAAAAAGTATAATAACATCTTGGCGCTGGTGACTCGAGCCTGTAATCCTAGTTTCTCAGGAGGCTGAGATCTGAGGATCGTGGTTCAAAACCAGCTAGGCAGCAAAGTCCGTGAAACTCTTATCTCCAATTAACCACTTGAAAACCAGAAGTGGTGCCGTGCTCAAGTGAAGAGCACTCACCCTGAGCTGAAGAGCTCAGGGACAGTGCCCAGGCCCATAGTTTAAGCCCCATGACCGACAAGAACAAAAAAACAAAAGTGTAATAATACATCTAAAATTTATCAAGGCTTAATAAGTGCTAATGCAAATATGTTTATAACTATTTTCTTATGTGATTACCAAGGCCCTAATGAATGGGCTATCATAACCTCATTTTAAAGACAAGGAAGTTGGGGATCAGGAAGTATGAAATTTCACCAAAGTAGATAGATGGTAGCTAGAATTGCTGAATTTAACCCTGGCCTGTTTGTTTTAGAATATAGGGCATTAGCTGCTATTCAAGTTGCCTCCCAGGACCATGTATCCTTTTTACCAGATTATACCAGGAATAGAAAAACTATGAGTCAAACTTTTTTTTTTCTTGAACCAGGGCTTGAACTCAGAACTCTTGTTCAGTTGGCACTTTACCTCTTGAGCCATAACTCCAGCCTAGCTTTTTGTTAGCTTATTGAAAATGGGGTCTTGCATACTTTTCTGCCTTGGCTAGCTTCAAATCTTGATCCTCTGAGTCTCAGCCTAAGAAGCTGGGATTATAGGCATGGTCCATCAGTACCTGGCTGAGTCAAACATTTTTTATAACTGTGATATAACTTTGAGGCATCAAAATAGTAAACTTTACAAAGTTCCTATAAGAATAAATACTTGCTGCCGGGTGCTGGTGGCTCATGCCTGTAATTCTAGCTACTCAGAGGCTGAGATCTGAGGATTGCAGTTCAAAGACAGCCCAGGCAGGAAAGTCTGTGAGACTCTGATCTCCAATAAACCACCAGAAAACTGAAGTGGCATTGTGGCTCAAGTGGTAGAGTGCTAGCCTTGAGCTGAAGAGTTGAGGGACAGTGCTCAGGCCCAGAGTTCAAGCCCCACAACCGACAAAACAAACAAAAAAAAGAATACTTGCCATCTTTAAGAGTTAAGAAAAAAATCTCAGAATAAGGCACTTATTCATATTCATTCTACACTTGTAGCTCAGTTTAAAACTCTACTTCTGAGCTTGTCTTACTTGCGGGTAGTGACATAATTTTCATTAAAAACAAACAAAACTAACAAAGATGAAATAAGAGTGTATAAATGTGTTGACATACCATGCTCTAACCTTTCATAGTCTGAATCCAGGAGAAATGTTTTAAACCGATTAGATACATAGTGGAAGGCCAAAAACTTTAAGTAATAGAGATTGAATTCAAACTCAGTTGGATACTGGTTGTGCACCTGAAATATAAAAGGCAAAGAACAAAGGCAGGATCAGAACAAAAAGTAAATGCCAGGTCAGTGAGTACTGACCTGAAATATGCAGGAGAACATTTGGTTATTCATCCAACAAATACTTGTATCTCTATAAGACATAGAGATAGGGAAAAAAGAATCTTTTCTAAGTATCTACTAGGTTTCATATTAGGGTTTTTTTAAATAGCTTGCTTAATTTTGACAGCACTGCAAGATAGGCATTATTGCTCTTTTCATTTGAAAAGCTTAGAAACAGCTAGTTATTTACTCAGGGCTATTAACACCAGTGAGCTGAAATATGAACACTGGTTTGTTAGGCTGTAACATCTGTACCCCATTCACTATAGTATACCATACAAAGCACTAGACAGATATCACATCAACAAGTTAATACTTTTTGTGATATAACAGTGTGGCAGAACTACAAAATTGCATTCATAGAATTTTGGCAAAGGAAAAACCAGGAGGATGAAGTTGTGTCTTAAGGTAACAAGTGACATTTTCTGGACAAAAGAAATGTGTGCATGTCCAGCAATCCATAAGGAACCAACAGAGTCACTAGTAAAAAAATAAGGCTGTAGAAAAGCAAGAACGAATGAGGCTAGGACTGAGATATACAGAACTGCCTTGGAAACAAGGAAGAGTACAGAAGAAATAATCTTCAGGTGCCAAGGAGGGGCAGGAACACACTCTTTTAACCATTTTTTTCACCAGTTAAACAGCAAGGTCCTAGATACAAAGTATAAGGGTGATATGGGAGGAGAAAAGTAGGGCAAAGCTTGGAAGTTGTTTACCACACAGGGAGATTCTGAGAAGCAATCTTATATTGGCAAGGATAGGCTAATGACCTGTGACTCCCTAGCCCACTAGGCAACCTCACCTCTGTTATGCTCAATTTCTTATGACCAGTTAAGAAAATTTTGCTTGGTTGAGAAAAGTTCATACTTGCTTAAAAGTTGTTTCAAATAAATACTATAGACTAATAGCTTTCCTTTCCATGTAAAATTTGGTCATGAAGACACGAACTTGTTCAGCTTAAGTGGGCAGGCATGTATGTAATATATGAACCAATAGGAATTTTAAGCCATGATCTTGACATCAAACTTTACCATCTGGTTAGAAACCTAGTTTTTTTTTTAATGAGGAAATTTAATGTAACAATCTCACATTTATTTTACAGATTTTGTTATTGTCTGAAATTACACAGGACATGCATATTATGGCAATGGAAACAAATCATTCTAGCACTCCTTTCTACCTCAACTGCACACCATATATATTTCCTTTAGGTGCTGAGAGTGAAGCTCAATTCCTTATATTTCTGCTTTCTAGGTCTATGCTACTTTTTCATCCCTAATCCGAACTTTAGGTATTTTATGAATAATTAAGTAATATAAATATGAGTAAATTAAATATGTAGCTCAGAATCTATTTTATCTGAGAAATGCTGCCTCAATTTCTTTGACTTTTGTTGTTGTATTTGTCGGTCATGGGCGCTGTCCCTGTGCTCTTTAGCTTAAGGTGAGCGCTCTAACGCTTGAGCCATAGCGCCACTTCCAATGGAGAGTTTTTGTTGTTGTTGTTAATTTCTTTGACTTTTCATGTCACGACCTTGAACTTTCATTTAGCTTTTGAGTAATTACATAAAAGAATGAACTTTCATGTGATTATCTTCATTTATTTATTCCTAGTTTCTAATAGAAGGAAAATATATTATCTTCTCAGATGAAACAAAATTATAAACATAAATGAGAAACCTAATTTTTTGTGATGACTTAATTGCTCTCTCCTGTCCACTTTGCAACATTTCTTAGCTTTTTCATTGAATGAAAGCTTATAAGTAGTGCAAAATAAAACAGAATTTAGGAAGATGCATTAAAAGAATCTGAACCATATTCAGTGGACCTGCATACACGGGCCTTGTAGGGTTTTGGAATTTCTATCAAATAGAATTTCATCAGTTTTTACTTCATTTTTTAATGAAGAGATTGAGTCCTATGCTGTGATTATGATATGTAAGCAGATTCAATCACTTATTGGGGGATTCCCAAAACTTTGGCTACTACACATAGAGCTGCTACTTCTGTACAAGTCTCTGTAAGGACCTAGGCTTTTTTTTCTCTAGAAAATTCTTAGAACTAAATGGTTGGTGTATGTTTATAACTTTTTAAGAACTGGCCAAATTGTTTTTCAGAATGGTTGTATAATTTTATAATCCCAAAAGCTGTGTGTGAAAATTTGAGGTCCTTCATATTCTTAAAAAAACGTGAATGGGGGCAGGGATGTAGCTCAGTGGCAAAGCGCTTGCCTAGCAAGTGCAACATCCTGGGTTCGATCCCCAGTACCAAAAAAGAAAAGACAAAAAAAATACAGTTAAAAAAAACCCCAAACAACAACAACAAAAAAATGTGAATGGTCAGGTAAAGAGGAGTAAAATGGTATTTCACTGTGACCTTCATTTTATTTGCTAAAAACAATGTCATGTATTCTGCCATTTGTATATTTTTGGCAAAGCCAGTAAAATGCTTTACCTATAAAAAAATAAGCTTGCTTGTTTTCTTACTGAGTATACACTGTTAAATTTCACTGGATTCAAGTTTTCTAGACAAAATTTACCAGAGATAATGGTCTATAGTTTTCTTTTACAGTCTGTGTCATCTAATGGTAATGCTGGCTTAATGGACTGAATTGGGAAGTAGTCACTTTGTTTTCACTTTCAGGGAAGAGTTTGTTTTTTTTTCTTCCTGAAGTGTTGGTGAATTTATCAGTGAGGCCACCTCGGTCTGAAATTTTCACTGTGGAAAGACCTTAGTTTCCTTAATAGATATAGGCCTATTCAAATTATTTCTTTTTGCGTAGGTGGGGTAGTGGGTGGCTTTCAAGGGTACTTACCATTTTGCCTACATTGTTGGCTGACAAGTTTGTAGTTATGTCCTTTTCTTCATTTCTAATATTGGTGGTTCCCTTCCTTCTTTCCTTTTTTTTAAAAAAAATTTGCTTCAGTCTAGCTACAGGTTTATCAATTTGAGGAATCTTTTCAAAGATGGCTTTTGGTTAATTTTCTTTCCTATTGATCGTAAGATTTTTCTTATCCTAATGCATTGTAAGTGTGCTTCAAATAATCATAATTATGTAGCATTGGGAATGATAGGCAGCTTAGCCAGTAAATTAATTCTTTCTGAGCTTTTCCCTAATAAAATGCAAATGAATACTTGCTTCTTTCAGGTATCATCTGGGTTCTGCTATTCAAAATAATTTTATATTACTGAAGATAAATTATGGAAGGCATTTTAGTATTTTTTCCATTAGGGAGTGAAACCTGCCAGTTTACTTATTTATAGGAACTGAATCTAAAATGGAATTTGGAGAAACATGAGTCTTTATAGTCTTTTTGTCCATGTGCCATTAAATTCTTTGTAAAATTTAAAAGGTCTATAAAAAAGGTATCACTCAAGTCTCAGAAAAGAGCAACATTTTTGGAATAACATATAATGAGATTATATTCTGCTTTCAAGTATTATAAGTAATAAAGTATAAGAAATATTATACACAACTACGGGTATGGCTAGATACATTAAAGAAAAGTAAGTAGCTAATACCAAACCTTATTATTTTACAAATTAAGATTTAACAAATATTGTGCACTTTATCAACCATTTTACCTAAGATTTAAAAATTCCATTATATGGGCTCAATATTACAACACTTAATGAAAACTTGTTTTAAGAGTTTAGATTATGTAAAGTTTTGCTAGTTTTCAGTTGAAAGGGAGACAGCCAGATGCAGCAATAGAAACAGACCATGCTTCCATCATTTGCAGCTATGAGTGAATAAATTTTAGAGTAACCAGTGTCCATGGGGCAGATTAGCTGATTACATAGTTCAAAATGAAGTTTCCTGTCTTCAAAAGGAAAATAACTTTTGCCTTTGGAGTAGAATCTGGCTTGGTGCTGGCATGTAGTAATGACACAGAGAACCACATTAATGAGCTAATTTACAATGTGAATAATCTATGGCAAAAATCAAACTGTTAACTTTTCTCAACGTAGGAAATGATAGTTTCTAGAATGCGCTCAAAGATTTACTCCAATGCTGAAACAAAAGGGGTACTTCATTCATATTGAAAATATATATTTCATTTGGAAAACTTATTTTTAAAAAATTTAGATTGAAATTTCATTTTGTATTTTGGATGTATTTTCTTTTGAAAGATTTGGCTCAACTATTTCAAGAAAAGGAAGTATTTTGTAATGATATAATTTGAACTAAGCCCCTTCTTTTAGAAGCAACACAAAACATCTCTGCCAGATTGCTCTTATGAAATAGTGATCTAGCATTTACAATTCATCTGACACCTGGATATACTGGCATAAACAATGGCTTTTTAGATGATGAGGCACTTCTAATTTAAGATCACTACTTCATGTGTTTTCTTTGTAATTTTATTAGTACTAATGGACAAGTCTAGGCATATGTCCATGAACTGCCTTTTGGCAAAGTATGTTAGAAATGATTAACAAGCCAGAAACAGATTCTACCCAGGAAAGGTTTCACTTATTGTTGTTAATTTTGAATTTAAAAAAAAACCACATTATTGGGCCTGGCTCTGTTTTGTGTCCCTGAATTATTTGGCGAAAGTCGAAGTCATGTAAAGCACTGTTCAGTTGAAAGGCACTCAAAGAAAGCATTTTTTGAATGTCTAAAACTAGTATGTAGGAAATGATGAAACCCTGCCTTATAATTAAGCCACCAAGAATCAGAAGCATCATTTGCTAACTATAGACTTCTGTTCTCAATAAACTATGCATCTTCAGCACAAAATAATTTGTTTGACCAAAGTTGATACCAATCATAGTTAAGCATCCTGAAATTACTACAATTAAAGTTACAGGCTCTTTGTTACAACTTGTCTGCATTCAGGTTAGCAGGTATGAGGTATTAGCTTCAAAGGGGTTTTACAAAATCTAGAACAGTTTTCAGTTTCA